TCCTGGGAAATTCCTTTTTTCTTTTTTAATGAAAAGAAATTTATAACTAAATTTCTTTATCTTTTTTAAATCTTTTTTTTTAAAAAAAAAAAGTATTTTGATTCATTTATTCACCACAAAAGCTATTATTTTAAATAATACATTATTTTATTTTGAGGAAATAAATTAATTTTTTTTTTTTTTAAATGACCTATAAATATTATAATATAAAAACAGTTTGTTGTTGCTATTGTTTGCTATATTTTAATATATTTTAAAAAACGAAACAAGTTTGAAATTTAATAAATATTTCATTTTTTTTTTTTTTACTAAAACCTGAAATACTTCTTAATAATAAAAGAGAAATTTTCTCTCTCTCTTTCCTCTCTCTCTCTCTCTCTCTCTCTCTCTGATATTGAAAAGAGCTTCCATATCTGTAATATTAGAAAATAACTCCTTTAAATTGCCATAATAACGTGATTTTTTCTTTTTATGATGACTGAAAAAATTTTCCCAAATTACAAGCAAAATTTCATAATGTAATGGATAAAAAAAAAAAAAATAAATGAAATTTTGTATGAAATATACGAATGACGTAAAAACGTGTATTCTACAATTTATATGAAATATACGAATGACGTAAAAACGTGTATTCTATAATTTATATGAAATGTATGAATGACATAAAAACGTGTATTCTATAATTTATATGAAATATACGAATGACGTAAAAGCGTGTATTCTATAATTTATATGAAATATACGAATGACGTAAAAACGTGTATTCTATAATTTATATGAAATGTATGAATGACGTAAAAACGTGTATTCTATAATTTATATGAAATATGCGAATGACGTAAAAGCGTGTATTCTATAATTTATATGAAATATGCGAATGACGTAAAAGCGTGTATTCTATAATTTATATGAAATATACGAATGACGTAAAAGCGTGTATTCTATAATTTATATGAAATATACGAATGACGTAAAAGCGTGTATTCTATAATTTACATGAAATATACGAATGACGTAAAAGCGTGTATTCTATAATTTATATGAAATATACGAATGACGTAAAAGCGTGTATTCTATAATTTACATGAAATATACGAATGACGTAAAAGCGTGTATTCTATAATTTATATGAAATATACGAATGACGTAAAAGCGTGTATTCTATAATTTATATGAAATATACGAATGACGTAAAAGCGTGTATTCTATAATTTATATGAAATATACGAATGACGTAAAAGCGTATATTCTAAAATTTATATGAAATGTATGAATGACGTGAAAACGTGTATTCTAAAATTGATGAGTTACTTACTTTTCATTTTACAAGTAAAGTTATTGTTCAAAAATTAACTATTTTATATCATTTATGATATCATGAAAAGATTGATAAAAATAATAATACAATGTTATTTAATTAGATAGTTATTTCTACAAGTAAAAAAAAATAAAAAAGTGAGCATTTTTTAGGTAAAGTAATAATTTATAAGTAATATTTCAGGTTTACATTATATCACAATTAATATATATATATATATGAAAAAAATAAAATGATAAAAAAAAAATAAATTTTTTTTTTTTTTTGCATACAAATATAACAGATTGTATAATTTTAACAATAAGAAATTAAATTTTGTAATAATAAATTAAATGAATTGAATTATTAATTAAACAATTATTCAATTATTGAATTTTTTTTTATTAAAAAATTTTCTTTCTTTCTTTTTTCATCATAACTAATTAAATTTTCATTTTTTTAAAATTTTATTTTTAAAAATTAAAATTTTTTTTTTTTTGAATGTAAATTAGTGTGTATGGCATATTTTGTTGACGCCATTTCTCGAAAAGACATTATCATCCATTTCCGTTTATTTATTTCATTTTTTACAATCATTAAAATATATTGTAAATTTAATTTAAGTTTTTATTATTAAAAATTTTTACTAATTTCATTGTTTAGAAAATAAAAAATATTTGTAATTGTTATTTAATAAATTAAAATGAAATACGATTTTACATTAAATTTAATAAATTAATTTTATTTTTATTAGTGTCACTTTGCTAATTTCACAGTTATTTATGTTATTTATAAGCCATCCGCTATATGTTACTAATATTTTTGGAATTAAATTATATATTTTTTAAAATTATAACTAAAAAAAATTTAAATTATAACTAAAATATTTTAGCATTATTTGCATGGTTAAAAAAAAAAGAAAATTTCAGATGAAAATGAGAAAAATGAAGAAAAAAATTATTCGAAAATAAAATTTGTTAAGTATTTCAAATTGAACTTTAAAAAGAAAAATTTTTTAAATTGCAATTAATTTGCATAACTAATCAGTCACTAAAAGTTTTCTCTCTTCAATATTTTTATTTAGAAATAAATAAGCAAATACAAATAAATAATTTTTTTTTGATGATAATAATAATTAATAATAATGATGATAACAAATTAATTAATTAACTAATAAATAAATTAACTACTTAGAATAATAGATATTTCATAAATAAATAAGTCATTATTTTTATTAATAAACAAATAAGTAAATATAAATAAATAAATAACAATTTTAGAAGTTATAATAATAATAATAATAAACAAATAAATAAATTGACCAATAAAAAAATTATTTACTTATAATAATAAACGAATAAATATACGAATGAAAGTAGATATTATTTATTCATAATAATAATAATAATAAATAAATAAATAAATAAAACAAACCGGACAAGAAAATGATTCTAAAATATAATAAAATATTATTTTTGAAAATATATACCACTAATAAAAATGTAAATTTTCAATTAAATTTAATTCAATTCGAATTGTTGATGAAATTAAATTAAATTGAGTGTAACAATTCCATTAGTTATAATAGCAATTTCATCTTTCAATTCTCGTTTTCATCCTTTTTGCAATGCTAGAAAATTTTATGAAAAAAAATTTTTTAAAATTTAGATTTTTCTTTTTTGGTAAATTAATTAGCAATTGATAGTTTAAGGTATGAAAAAATATTTAAAACAATTTGCATAAAATTTAAATTACAAATTTATCACTGAAATTATAACAAATCATCATCGGAATTAGTTATTGATAAAATTTCAACTCAAAAATTTCATTTCATCAAAAAAAAAAAAAAAGAAAAAGAAAAAAAAAATTTTTTTTCTAAACATTTTGGTTTTAATTTTAATATTCGAATAATGAATTTAGCAAATAAGTAATTTCAAAAATTATATTAATTAGGAAGCATTTTTAGGAAAAAAAAAGAAAATAAACAATGAATTGAAATAATCATTTTCATAATGTAAATATAAGTAATATTATAAAAATATTTTATTGTGTAATTTTTATTAGCAATTTTTTTTTTAAATTTTATTAAAATTTTATGAAATTACTTAATTTTTTCAAATTATTCTTTGGATAATTGATAATTCTAATTAGCAATAATTAATGTTTATTATTTAAAATTGCTTAGATTTGAAATTTTTTTTTTTTAAAAATTTTTCAATTTTATTTTTTTTTTTTTGTTCCTGTCTTTCTTTTTTTTTCATTTAATTTAATTATTTTTGTTAAAGCAAATTAAAATTTAACAAAATTATTTCTAACTGTACTTTTACTCCTCATTTGTCATTTCAAATTAAATTTGTTTATTTGAAAAAATAATTTTTTTTTTTTGTGTTAGAATCATTCGATTTCTGATATCAAAAAAAGGAAAAATCTAAAATTCATACGTTTTATAGGCATAAATTTGAACACAATCATAGTTAAAATTAAATTAAAATTTTGTTAATTAAAATTAAATTAAATTTTTGCTAGAGGATAAAGTTTTTTTTTTTTGTTTTAAAGATGAAAATTTTTGAAAAACTTTAAAGTTTATTTAATTTAATTTAATAAATATTTTTCTTTTTTGTTTACTAAATTTATTTGTTTTGTTTTTTTTTTTTTTTTTTTTTTTTTTGTTTATTTTTTTTCTTAACTAATTGTTTTTTCTTAGCAATGAAGTAAAAGCCATTTATGACAAGTAAATAATTTGTGCAAATTAAATTATTTGTAAATTAACTGCTGGTAATTAAATCTTGAAATAAATTTTATTATTTAATTTTGTTATTCATAACAGGTTTGAAAAGATTTATAAGGGAAAGGGAGAGAGAGAGAGAGAGAGAGAGAGAGAGAGAGGTAGAAAAGGATGAAATTTATTGAAATAAGTTGTTATCAACTGGCATAAACATGTATGAAATCATTTGATAAATAAAGTTTCGACAATCTTATAAACAAATCAAAATTTTTGTTTTTATTTTCTTCTTTTTTAAAAAATAATTTTTCATTGATTAATTATTTTGTTTACTCATTTATCTTCGATCGAATAACTTATGTTTATTTTTATTTTTAATTTTTTCTGTATTAAATGCATGCATCATTTTGAATTCCATTGGAAAATATTTAATTCTTTAAATGAAATTTATATTCTCATATTTTTATTGAAGTAACTCTGACACTGAAATTAGTTTTCAAAAAAAAAAAAATGAAATTGAAAGAAAAAAAGAAAAAGTGGAAGAATATTTGGGAAAGTTTTTTTTTTTAATTATTAGTGCAAAATTTAATAATTAATTAGTTTGGATAATTAATCCAAAATTTTGCATTTGGGTTAATAATTTTAAAAAAAAAAGCTAAATAAATTATAAAAAATCATTTAAAAAGAAAAATAAATTCGCTTAAATTATTGATCAAATATGACATTTAGAAGAAATATTACAAAATTAAAATAACTTATACCTAATATCCATTTCAATATTTTGATGAAAAATAATTTGAAATTTCTAAATTTTTAATAATAATCTAATTGTTATATGAAATATGACATCAATAAAATTAGCAATAAAAATTTAATTTCCTCTAATTAAATTCAAATTTTTTCATTGGTGTTTTTTTTTCTTTTCTTTTCTTTTCTATGATATCAAACAAAAATTAAATTGTTGAAGAAATAATAACACACATGAAAATAATGAGCGGTGTTTTTTCAATAGGTAATGATGATGATAATAATAATGATGATAAGAATAGTGATAATAATGATAATGATGATGTTGACGACAATAGTGATAATAATGATAATGATGATGTTGACGACAATAGTGATAATAATGATAATGATGATGTTGACAACAATAGTGATAATAATGATAATGATGATGATGACAACAGTAGTGATAATAATGATAATGATGATGATGACAACAATAGTGATAATAATGATAATGATGATGATAACGATATTGATAATGATAGCGATGTTGATAACGATGAAATAGTAATAGTGTCAGCAATGATTTCAGGGCAGAAATAATTTAATACTTCTGTTTCAATCAATGTTTATTTCAATTCAATTTAATTTTTAAATTTGTATGACCTATTTTTTTAACTCCTAGCAATCTCTCTGTTCTTTTTTCTACTATTTCAACTAAAATTTAATTTTATTAAAAATCAAATTATTTTCTTTTTTTGTTGTAAAAATTAGCTAATACATAAATATATTACATGTTATATTATTCCGAAAAAACAATTTTTTTTTTATTTGAAAATTATGCTCATTTAAAATAAAATAATTCAAAATATTTAGAGCATAACTTTCATTACTGCTTTAATTAATTAATTATTTAATTAAAAAAGTGAATATTAATTATTTAATTAAAAAAGTGAGCAAATAGTAAATTTTAATAAGTAAAAAGTAAACAAAATTATAGTGACAAGAATTTAAATTTTGATTTTTTTTTTCACCCTTTAATCAAAAATAAAATTTATTGCAAACTTAAATTGCCAGCTTTTCCATTCAGATTCATTATTTACGATTTATTATTATTATTATTATTATTATTATTATTAATAATATAAAAATTTTTATTTTAAAAATTTTGATTAGAGTAATTTTCAGAAAAGAATTTCGAAAATATTAACTTAATTCAAATAAAATTGATAATATAATAATTTGATAGCAACTGTGTTATCAGTTAGTGATAATTTCAATGCTACTTAGCTTATCATTAAATTGTTATTCCCCAAATTTATTATCACTGCTTAGAAAATATTGTAGAGTTATAGCGCTAAAAAAATATTTTTAAATGAAATATTAACAAATAATAAATAAATATCTCGAGATCATTAATTTTCATTAATGGTCTCGAGATAATTTTCATTGTTCATTTTATGATTAATTAAAAAAGTGATTAAATGATTTGAAAATTATTTTACATTTTATATAATACTTTTATGCTCATTTCCTAACTAATTAATATTACCAATTTGTCTTTTTTTTTCAGATATTTTCATTATTTTTGAATGTTATTATCATTCTTATCATTTTGCTAAATTTTGTTTAAATCGATTATTTCTTTGCTTCATCGAAATTTATGCTTTACGGGCTTTTCAAACAAAATATATTAAAATTTTGTCAATGATTATTTGATATTTAACATTTTGTTATCAAATTTTATCAAATGTTTATGAAATTTTATCATTATCAATTGTTAAAATTACTAAATAAAATAAAATAAAATAAATTTTTTTTTTTAAAAAAAATATATTTCTATTCTTTTTTTTTTCTTATTTTATTATTTCATTTTGTTATTTCTTCATTCCTACATTAATAATTGTCACTGCATCACATCCATCAATGATCACATTTTGAGGGTCACACAAAGGTCATTTTATCACAATCCTTTTCAAACATTTTCTTTCCAATTCAATGATTTCATTTACCTCTCTCTCTCCCTCTCCCTCTCCCTCTCTCTCTCTCCCTCTCTTTATGTTAACTTTATTTTTGCTTCAAATACTACAACAATTATTAATTCTAATTTCCACTTATTATTCTTCCAACTTCTCTAATAGCCATTCTTCCATTTATTTCTAATATAATTTTAAATGAGTAAATATTTACATTTTAGCCAAATAAACAAACAATCATTGAGCATTTAGCAAAGAAATACAAAAAAAAAAAAACGAATATTAATAATTTTTAAATTAAATTTCTTATTTTTTGTTTATTCAAGAAAAAAAAAAGATTAGTAATAAATAAATTTTTGATTAATAGCATTCAAAAATTTTCAAATTAAAAAATAATTGTACTAGAAAAGATAATTTTAGATTAATTATGTAATATAAATTTAAAAAAGTTCATTCGTCGTTGGATAATTGCCTGAGTGATAAGATAATGATAAGATGAAATATTTTAGTGATAAAACATTTAAAGTAACAAACACATTGCAAATATTACTTTTCTAAAAGAAAAAAAGCGAAAATTACTTAAATTAATCGAACGATAATTTTTGATCTGATCGTTGCTTCAGATCAAAATTATTTTTAATTAAACTATTTTTAGCCAAAACAAATTTATCGATGTAGGAACTTGGCATTTCTTTTTTTTTTTTGTTTAGAAATTCAAATATTTTTAATTTCAGTTTTTCCTTTTTGCCATTTTTTTTTTTTGTTTTTGAAAATATATTATGAAAGTAAAATATAATATTAATAAATAAATATAAGACATATATTTTAATAAAAATTAAATTATAAATTTTGATATTTTGACAATTTCAGTTCATCCAAATTTTTTTTTTTTGGTTTTTAATTAATTCTTAATTAATTTTTTTATTTTTAAATCAAAATTTCAACTTTTTAAGGGTTAAAAATTGCAGTAATACGAGAAGACTTTATTTCTGTGCAATGAAAATTACAAAAATGTTTTTCTTTTTTTTTTTTCAATTTAAAATTCAAAAAAATGTTTACTATAAAATATAAAATTCAACTGAATTTAGAGTTAAGTAATATTTGAGTTAAATTTTATTAATTTCTTTTGCATTAGCTTAAATTATATTTTCAGCAGATTAAACCATTTTGTTTCGTTCTTTTTTTTCAAATAATCAAAAAATAAACATTTAAATTTTGGAAAAATTAAAATTGTTTTCAAAGGTTAATCATCACGTATAAATCACGTATGCTTTTCTCGATCACGTCACTCCAATAAGTCAACTAATAGCTTCTTTCTCATTGGTATATCTAAATTCAGTAACAAATATATTATTTACTTGCAATGATTAATTATAAAAATAAATTTCATTTAAGTATTTAATTTTGTAAAAATTAATTAACAATTTCAAACATAGAAAAATTCGAAAATTTAATTAAAATAAAGTCTTTTTCTATTTATAATTGATGGATTAAATGTTGTAAAATGAAAGTAAACAAATTATTATTTTGAAACTTTTCTAATTAGAATTAAATGATTCAGCAAAAAATTAAAAAATTAATTTTATTTTGTTATTTTGTGATAATAATTTTAATCAAATTTATAGTTTGATATTTAAGATGCAATTGAAAAATTAATTTAATTTCCAAAAATTCAATTTTTTCCTTATTTAGCTTTTATTTTTTTACTTCTAAAACATTTGATTTAAACTGAAACTAAATTGTATTTAGGTAAAAAAAAATTTTTTTTAAATGTTGATATTTAAATTCGAGTTAACAAATGCATATTTGAAAAAATTAAAATGAATTGCAATCGATTGAAATAGTATAAAAATAAAAGTGCTAAAAATTAAAAGTTATTCATTCCATTTAAAAAATTTAAAAAGGTATTTTTATTTTCTATTTTAATTTAAGAATGCTATTAACTGCTTTGAAAATTTTGAATTTGAAATTTTGAAATGAAAATTTCTGTTAAAGTTTTATTAAAAATTTAAATTTTTTGTTGTATTTGTAGCAAAATTATACTTTTTCCCTTTTTTTTTTTATTTGTTAATCAAATTATTCTAATTTTTATAAAATTTAATGAGGAAAAAAATATGAGGAATTTAGTATTTTATCAATGATACTTTGAATTGATACTTTTTTTAAAGTTATTAAAACAAAAAAAAAAAAAAGTGAATAATAAAATTTAAAATTAAAAATATAAAAAAATGAACAAAAAAGTTTTAAAATTCAATATTAAATGATTTTTTTATATATTTTTCAGTTTGTTTTTTTTTTCTTTTAATTCCTTTTTTTACCAAATATAAATTTGAAATAAAGTTGAAAAAAAAGATGAAATTATTTTTTTTTTTTTTTACAAACACAAACTATAAAAGGAATTGACAATGTCGCAGGTGGTAACAAAGTAAACAAATAAAAAAAAAAAAAACGAAAAATAATTTGAAACAACGACCACAATGCCAGCTGTTATTCTTTTGATTAATTTTTTTTTTTTTTAAATTGTTATAAACCGGATAGATTAAAATTAAATTAGATTAACAATAATCAATTTCCGGTTTTATTTATTAACTTTTTTTTTCTGAACTTGATTTTTTTTTTATATACCAGTTCCCAATCATTGCAATCTTACAATACGGATTTTATGAAATCTTTTTTGATTTGAAAATTTGTAAACAAATCGATAAATTCGATTAAAAAAAAAAAAAAATTTTCTTTTTATTTTTTTTACAATATTTTTTGGATTAAATATTATAAAATGAAAGTAAATGCTTTTGTGGTTTATGTTTCCATAATAATAATTCTAAAATTATTTCAGATTATCCGGCAGAAAAACTGTTTTGCTTAACTTTCTCTTAAAATAATTTTAATAGGTTGCGCTAATAATAATAATAATAATAATAATAATAATAATAATAATAATAATAATAATAATAATAATAATAATAGTAATAATAACAATAACAGTAATAATGAATTACTATTTTATACTTACCATTCGTCATTATTGTTGTTATTATTATCAGTTGTTAAAATTATTTATCATTATTAATTATTATTAAAAATTATTTATCATTATTAATTATTATTTCCATAATAATAATTCTAAAATTATTTCAGATTATCCGGCAGAAAAACTGTTTTGCTTAACTTTCTCTTAAAATAATTTTAATAGGTTGCGCTAATAATAATAATAATAATAATAATAGTAATAATAATAATAATAATAATAATAATAATAATAATAATAATAATAATAATAATAATAATAATAATATTAATAATAGTAATAATAACAATAATAGTAATAATAAATTACTATTTTATACTTACCATTCATCATTATTGTTGTTATTATTATCAGTTGTTAAAATTATTTATTATTATTAATTATTATTACTTATATTTTTAAATTGTTCATTATAATTTGAAGTAAAATCATCTAGCTAAATTCGATTCATTTAATTTCAGTCAAAATTTTCAAATTATCTCAGAGATGCTTCTTCTTCTTCTTTTTTTCTCTTCATCATTTTAAACATTTATTTTAAAATATACTTAAAATATATATTCATCCAAGAACTGTTTCATATTAATTGCTACTAATTTGAT